CTGCCACTTGATTCTTCCCTCCACCCAGAACCCCTTTATTTCGTGCAGCACCACCCAGAACATTGCTTGTTGCACCGCCCAACTTCCCTTCCATTTTCTTATAGCACCGCGCAGAAACCCTGCCGTTTGCTTTTGGCAACGCCCCAACACTGCCCAGACCCTGTCATTTCTTTTCCACCCAGAACATTGCCTGTTGCACCGCCAGGCTTCCCTGCGATTTCCTTGTAGCACCGCCGAGAAACCCTGCCATCTGCTATAGCACTGCACTTTTGGCACCGCCCGGAATCGCTGCCAGTTGCTTTTTACACCGCCCAACCCCTTCATTTCGTCAAGCACCACTCAGAACATTGCTTGTTGCATCGCCCAGCTTCCTTTCCATTTGCGTATAGCACCGCCCAGAACTACTGCCATTTGCGTCCGCCCTATACAGCACTGCCCGGAGTCGCTGAAGGTTGCTTTTTGCACCGCCCAGAACTTTCTTATCCCACCCAGATAGCACCGCCGAGAAACCCTGCCGTTTGCTTCCGCCCTATAGCGCCGCCCAGAACCTCTGCCAGTTGTTTTTTGCACCGCCCTTTCTTTTCTTATACCACCCAGAACATGGCTTGTTGCATCCCCCAGCTTCCTGTAGCTCGCGCCAACTTTTTTGGGTGCGCTGGGAGCATCTAACCAAATAGCTCGCGCCAGGTTTTTGGGTGCTTTTTGGGTGCTGGGAGCATCTGACCAAATGGCTCGCGCCAGCGTTTTGCGTGCCGGGAGCATCTAACCAAGCAGCTCGCGCCAGCTTTTTTGGGCACTGGGAGCATCAGGGTGTCGTCTTGCGGACATGGATGCTCTGGTGACACGGACGTTATCATCGTGCGGACATGGATGCTCTGGTAACACGGATGCTATCATCGTGCGGACATGGATGCTCTGGTAACACTAACACGATGTTATCATCGTGGGGACATGGATGCTCTGGTAACACGGACGTTATCATGGTGAGGACAAGGACGCTCTGGTAACACGGACGTTATCATGGTGAGGACAAGGACGCTCTGGTAACACGGACGTTATCATGGTGCGGACATGGATGCTCTAGTAACACGGACGTTATCAACCTGCGCACATGGATGCTCTGGTGACACGGACATTATCATTGTGCGCACATGGATGCTCTGGTACCACGGACGTTATCATGGTGCGGACATGGATGCTCTGGTAGCACGGACGTTATCAACGTGCGCACATGGTGCCTATAGCATATAGGCATATATAGGCGAGAGCGACGCAGGCACGCGGAAACACCGACGATGCAAGCACTCTTGGCCTGGTGCCCGAGTGCAACGCCACAATGGGCGGATCTCAGGGCACCGGCAACCCAGGCCCCCTGCCGAGCAGCCACGCGAAGAAGCCTGGCATGAAGAGGGGTTGACCTAAATTCTGAGCCTCTTTGACACGGATAGACCAGGAACGATGAGAGCGATGCAAGAAGGACTGGTAACCTGGAAGAAGCCCCCCGAATGCAGAATCAGGTCACGATGGGCTCACATTTGCACGCGACTCACAAAGACCTCAAAGCTTCAGTCCTACAATTCTTGTCGGGCAACAAGTCCAGAGGAAAGGGGATAAGGCGGCTAGAGCCTAGGGCTCTGCATTCAGCTGCGCTGAATGAACCATGCCAGCATGGCTCGCCATGATCGCTTGACTTGACCTGTGGCACATGCAAGCCGGAGCCCTGCTGTTGCGTGCAACTTGGGCTTTCCCACGCTGCCAGAGAAGCCCTGCATGGTCTCTACACCCAAAGCCTGGGCACAACATCTTAGCCAGCGCCCCACCCCTGGACCACAACTCTGCGCCTGGGCTTTGTCGGAAGCGGACTTGGTTGCTCGGCACTCAGTAGGAGCCGAAATGCAGCAAGCGGAGCTGCAATAAAATGGGTTTGAAGGCACCCATAGGTTTGAGAGGGGCGGGTTTTAGCTGCTTCGCGCCGAACTTGCTTGCTACAGTGTATTCCAAAAAAGGAAGTCGGAGGTGGGGATCACCATCTGAGGCCCAAGATTCTTTGAATACGTAACTGCTTTGCTGCTACACTGAGTTTCAAGATGCTTCTGGCCCGCTTCAGGGTTGCTTGAGAGGGGCCGCAGCATCTCCTACCGTCGCCCAAAGCAGTTGCAGAACATCACAACCAGTTCTTTTGCCTTCTGGTAACATGGGGTGGTCTGCGTCAGTGACGGCACGGTGCCCGGCTCAAAGCCTGAGGAGGTCAGCCTCAGTGCTTTATTTCCGTAGGGCTTAGGTCTTCGGGCCTCTGGTAAGGACGGCTTGAGGTTTAGGGGTTTAGGGGTGACGGAGACACGTTTACAGCCACCGCTGCTTTTGTAGGCTCCTGGCTTGTCGGTCTCTTCAACCTGGGTGCCACCGCCCGGCTCCTGCAACACAGCGCAGCCTGACATCTTGGCATCCAAATTGACCACCCAAGCCTGGATTTTTTTTGGACAGACGGGAAGGAAGAGGC